CTCCATTCACCCAGAATCCCAATTTAGAAACTATAATGCATTCTCTTCCACCCTCTATATTCACTTGTTCACCAAATTCTATTCACTCAAAGTTAAAAACGTCTCTTACATCCAGTTCTCCTCCTTTTCCTTTCTGTTGCTTTCCTGATCCTGGGCATTCACCTCCTTTGCTTAGATTGTTGTATTAGTGTGCTAACTAGTCTCCTGCCCCTGGTTTAATCTGTCATCAAAACACTTTCTACATTATGCCATAGCTTTATGTCTCGCAGTGTTTCCTCACCAGAAACCAGCTCATGCCTCATTGTTGAGGAACAAAGTCTAGATTGTCCAGCATTACAGAAGATCCTTCCTCATCTTCTCCAAGGCCCTCTGGAATGCCTTACCCTTCCCTGACTGCATCCTTCCATGTACTGTTCCTAAACCGTTCTTTGCGCCACACTGCAGAGGCTGGTGTGATGTTAGTTTTATTTGGTTTGCTACTGAAGCTTCAGATGGTTCATGGGACACATGGGATAAAGGCTTTAAGCAAGTGGCTGCGGCTCGCAGAAGTGTAGCTGAAGTTCTGAGACCACTGTTGGCTGCCTGGAGTGAGAAGTCCGCCATGGCAGAGGAGGCCATGACTTTTATGCAGTCATGCTGGGAAGGCAACCATGTCAGCTTCAAGGGTTGCCCTCCTACTAAACAAGGAGATGCTGCTGCACTTTTGTGTATTTTCAAGTTCTCTTTCTTACTGCTTCATTAGATGGGAAGCAGGCCTGGCCTTGCTCTGCTGTACCTTGAATTCCCTTCTCCTTCTTTGCTACTATGTAATTTTTAGGGCTCTGCTTAAATATCACATCCTAATGAAGCCTTTTCTGATGGCTTTTTTCAGGAATTGACTCCTTTAGTTGCTCTTGCTACAACTTGTTCCTAGGTACCTAACAGTTCCTACAAATCCGCCACACTTACTTTCCTCTCCACTAGATTGTGAATCCCACATGGTTAGCACCATTCTTATTCTTGTCTTATCCTCCAGCATTTCTGCAATAGCAGGTGCTCGTTGGGCAATCAAATGTGTTCCTCTTAAACTTCAGGCGATCATTTTCTAGGTGCCAGTTAATCTGATTACTGGATAACCTGCATTAAAAGGAAGACTATGTAGAACCTTTTTATTTCCAGCCTCCTACAGGTTTCGTTTTGTTTGTAGCTTTTAGTATTTTCATTTTACGCTCACACATGTAGAATGAGTTTTGAAACAGAGGGTCGGAGTAGAAAGTCTGGGAATGTCCTGCATTTTTCCACCTTAAGAAGCTTTGTGACTAAGGCAACAGACTAGACTGGCTGAGAATGTCTTCCTATTATATTGCAACTGTATCCAAATCTCAGTTTTGGCATCCTTACCCTTAAGAACAGGCCTGTGCTAGAATCTTTGAAACCCTGTTTACTCTAATTTTATCAGTAAGCATCTCCGCTGAATAGTGAAGCATCAGAACTGCAAGCCAGAAGAAAAATTAAAAGTAAATTTCCTGTATAACAACAGGATGGTTTGAGCAGGAGACGCATAGAAGAAAACAGAACAGTCAGTTAAATATTATAGGTCTAAGCAGTGTTAGAACTGATGTGGTTGGCAGTTGTGTAAGACAAATTATTGCAAAGCCACACATGCTGACTTATCTTCTCTGAGGGCAGAAATACACAACTAGCATTTTCTTTGGTTTCTCTGGAGCAGTTGCTGTGAATTGATAAACAGTATATCTGATGGGCCCTGGAGGGTTACATGAAAGTTTAGATGCTCAGTATTCCTTCTTTTCTGGTTTTGTAAAATAGCTGCAGGTGGTTTATCTTGTCTAACCAACCCTTGAAATTTGTAGAAGTAGCCTTTCTGCTTTCCGCAAAGCTGGCTTAAAAGGTCTGAAAATAAAAGGAAGTTACTACTAGTGATAGACAAATTTAACATAAAATTCCCCAAATGCAGACAACAGCATCTAGGGGAAGTATAATCCAAATTTTTAAAGAAGATGCTGGATACCAAGACCCAGAATTTATATGGGGTGGATAGTTAAAAGTTTTGAAGAAAATTAGAATAGATCATCTTTTGAAGTCCTATGCGTTCTGTGGTTCTTAGACTGAAACAATTCTAAAAAGCTATAAAACACCTAAGTCTGTGTTTAAATGCCTACAAGCATATCTTCACTATGGATTTCCCCCTTAATATTGTAAATTGGCTCCCTTTGTCCCATCTCACTTTTCAATGGAAATTCAATTTTGCCCTATGGTAAAGCTATGAATGCTTTATTTTTGTTTATATATAATTGATTTATCTTTGCCTGTTGCTTTACTTTTAACCTTTTAACATAACCCATGATTCATTGTTGGTATATCTAGTCTAAAACATGTAAGTTATTTGTAGTGCACTGATTTGAAATTTTAGTTGCTCTGATCCCATGATAGAATTTGTAGACCATCTGGCAAGAAAATGGTAGATTTAAATAAAATAAAACATTTAAAATTTTAGAAGTCAAATTAAATTTTTAGTAATTTTTGTGGCTGGGAGAAACAGGTAGCCACGTTTCAGAACACCACTGAAATGGCTTCTTGTTTGATGTAGAAATAGGTAAGAAAATATGGAAGTTCGGTATTTCCGTTAAAGACCTTCTATGAAATAACAAATAATAAGCTTACATGAAAGCTAAGTTTCTAATAAATAGAAACCAAAAAATAAAAATAAACATCTGCAAAAGTAATTGAAATTTCTTTTGAATAGATTATAAGGCAAATGAAATAAAAATGCAAAGGCATTAAACATGTAGTACTTTTCCTTTCAAGATTTAGAAGTCTTTAGTTTTTAATTACACTATAAAAGAACAGATTTAATGAATAATTCATTTTTATTCATGAAATGATGTGAGATTATTCATAAGCCTTTGTAAACGGTAATATAGTAAAACATAACTGAGTAATGACTGGCTGCTTAGTGTTTGATCTCTATTAGTAATAAAAAATGAAAGAAAAATTTCTTTTTATTCTGTTTCCTCATGTACTGAAATGCAGAAATAGATTAAATCTTTTAAACAATAGCTTATTCTTAAACCAGGCTGTAGAGGAAGGGGAGAAAGAGTCTTAAAAAAAAAATGGTTTATGAAGCATGGTAAATGGTTTTGAATATCAAATCTAGTTTGAATGAGGCCCTTAACACTCCACAGTTCCTCCTGTATGTTTTAGGTGTGATCTGCGTTCTACAACTTTTGATTATTGTGTCACCGAGAAGGAGACATGGCCTGAAGTCAGTACAATAATGTGTGAGGATGAGTTGTTTTGACCTCAAAGCAGCAAGTAGACAGCTAGAATGCCGGCTTCAAATTTACTGAGTCACTGGAACAGCAAGGAAAAAACTAGCCGGCAGTTCTCAAACTGTTGGCCTAGTGGTGAGCGCCAGCTGTTAGACAGCTTGATGTCAGAACTTAGGGTCAGAAATCTGCAATGAAATGATACATTAGAAGCCATACTGACCAGCAAGTTTCATAGAGTTCCTCCAGCAATATTGCTTAAACACATTTTGTTTTTACACTAAAAAATGGTCCTGAAGGTTACAGTAAATTGGATACCTATTAACACAAATGAATGTTAAACCAGTTTTGCTGCTTCCTATGTATTGCAGACAAAACTTCCAAGGAGATCCTTGCCTGATACATTACTTAATTAAGCAAAGACCTGATTGGCTATCAGTTAAACTGTCAATAGTGTAGCATTCAGTGGGATTCAAAATTAGCACTCAGGTTACATTTCAGTATGGACACTACACATTAAAGTGGTCATATTTCATCCAGCTTTCCATTACATGTATAATTGAAGGTCCAACTTCAAGATTTGATTCTTTCTGCGAGCTCTTTAGTCATCAGACGTCCCTTGTTTGTTATTTAATCAACATCAACAAGGTCTCACACTGCTGTTGGGCTTTCAATGTGTGACCACAAAAGCAAACTTTTACAGATCTGAGTTTTGTTTCTTCTCATAGGTGGATGAGGTAATGCTGACTCTGAAACAGGCTTTCAGTACAGCTGCTGCCCTGCAGAGCGCCAAGACCCAGATTAAGCTGTGCGAGGCCTGCCCTATGCACTCTTTGCATAAGCTCTGTGAAAGGATCGAAGGTACAGTATAACTTGGCCTGGGCAAGAGAGGAGTTTGCTTTGGCACTTGGGAAATGAGAAAATCGCTACTGTCCTTGAATGGTTCTTTGTTTCAAGGTGAAGCAAGAGCCCAAAGAATAATTTCTCAAGTCCAGTCAACTCTGTGCTATTAGTCTTTCCTAGCTGCTTGGCTTTACCCTGCCTCTTTCTTTTTGTCTCTTTTTTATCTTTTATTTTTATTCTGAAGGCAGACTCCAGGAAGGGAGTTGTATTTCCCACAGTTCTCAAGACTGTGCTGTCTACACACTGGGAACTGACCAAATATTTGTTGAATGAACAGAGAGAGAAAACCATCCGGAAGGTCAACTGTTTATTTAAGTCTCTCATTCCCCCCTTGTTTGATGATGTGTTCCTTGTGCCTGAAAGTTTAGAACTAGATTGAAACTTGGGTGGCTTTTGATGGATATTTGACAATGACAGAGAAGATAATAGATGTGATAATATACAGCAGATGTTTTTTTGCTTTTAGCTGTGTTGGGGGGAGGGGAAAGAGGCAAGAGGGAGAGGTGTCTCAGTGATGCACTTTCCCTTTCTGTCTCTTAATAACAAAAAAGTTTGAAAAGTATTGCACAAGAGGAGAAACATAATATAAAAATTTTTTTTATTAAGGTATTATTGATACACACTCTTATGAAGGTTTCACATGAAGAAAACAATGTGGTTACTACATTTACCCATATTATCAAGTCCCCTACCCCAATGCAGTCACTGTCCATCATTGTAGTAAGATGCCAGAGATCCACTATTTGTCTTCTCTGTGCTACACTGTTTTCCCTGTGATCCCTCACACCAGGTGTACTAAACATAATACCCCTCAATCCCCTTCTCCCTTCCTCCCCATCCACCCACCCTCCCTCCCACATCCCTCCCCTTTGGTAACCACTAGTTCCTTCTTGAAGTCTCTGAGTCTGCTGCTATTTTGTTCCTTCAGTTTTGCTTCATTGTTATACTCCACAGATGAGGGAAATCATTTGGCACTTGTCGAGGAAAACATAATTTAATAGACACTTGTTAAGCATCTACTATGCACCAGGTAGTTTACTAAGCACTGGGGATACAGAAATGATCGCAGTGTAGACTATGTTCCCAGAAGGCTTAGAGTCTAGAGTGGACAGGCATGCAAGCATATTAATGCCATTCAGGATTATAGGTGTTATGATAGAGGGGGTGAGTGCAGATTCTGGAACAAAGCAGAGTGGTCTAGTCATTGTAAATGCAAATTTTGATTTCTGTAGGCAGCAGAATCGTAGGCCCATATCAGAGCAACAGTGTTTATTGAATTTCCATTCAATTTTTTGACAAAGGATAATTTTGATATAATGTTCATATTTTAAAATTTATAATTCTATGGAATGCACATTATTTTCAAGCATATATGTAAGTATTTCCAAAAGGTTGGAAAATTCTTTGTTGTATGGTAAAGTGAACTTTATGAATCTGTAGAAGAATGGCAGAATTACTCAGGAAATGGTCTTGGACGAATTTGCTGTCCAAAGATTCCTTCCACTTACTCTATTCAAAATACTTTCAAGATGGATCAAAGTGCTCAGTGTAAACAAAATATTAATATTATTAAATGAAAATATAATTGTCTTATGTCTTTAAATAAGGAAGCCTTTATTGAGAAAGAAATATGCAAAAATTGTTAAGACATTGACATAGTTGACTTCATAAAAATGTAAAGTTTTTATATAACTATTTACTTGGAAGTTAAATGATAGGCAACAAATGATAGCAGACTCATGCAGAAATTGTAAGAACTTTCATCATCAATAAGAAAGAGATAAAACCATCAGTAGGAAATTATGCAAATCATATTAGAAAATGCTTTTCCAAAAAGGAAATTAAGAGGTCCAATAATAAAAATGAGAAGATGTTCAACCTCACTAGATGTCAGAGACATGAAAATGAAAACAATAATGAGTTACTCATCAGATCAACTGTTGGTGAAATTGTAGGGATATTGATAACATTTATGTGATACTGATGGTAGTATAAATTGGTATAGCCATTTTGGGGACAATTAATAGAAACTCACTAATCTAAAATTGCACATCCCTGTTAACCAGCAGTTTCATGTCTTGATAAGTGAAATTGTTGTCAAGAAGGTGACACTTCCAAGGTTGTATTTTTTGTAAGGAAGATTGGGTACAGCCTAAATGTCTATCAGTAACATAACTGAAGTACATTCATGTAATGGAGCAATTAATGGGAATGAATTTTAACTGCCTATCAACTTGCATATATCTTAAAATTATATTACTGAGTGACAAAGGAATTTGCTGAATAATGCATATGCTTTGATACTATATCTGGAAAAATACATAATATAGTACCCTATATTTATTTTTAAAAAACTTTTAATTTGGTCTACTTTCAGACTTAACAGAGAAGTTGGAGAGTTAGCAAATATTCTTCCCTCATCCTCCCCCATTGTTAACATCTTAGAGCCCAGTGCAATGAACAGAAGAGGCAGTTAACACTGGTATAGTATCATTATGCAAACCAAACATTTCATTTGATTTTCACTGTTTGTTTTTTTTTTAACTCGTGTCCTTTTCTATTCTGGGACCCCAGTCAGGATCCTATATTGTATGTGAGTTATTTCACCCTGTAGTCTGCAACTCTTGCTCCTTCAAAATGACCTTGACACCCTCAATGAGTATGTCATTTTGTTATTTTGCTGACTGATGTCATCTCACATTTGGACTGAGGCTCCCTGGCAAGTGCACTATAGAAATGGTGCTGTTTCCTCCTCTGCATGTCATATCACGGGGCTTGGGATGCTCATGCTTTATTACTGGTCATGTTGGTCTTGTCACCTGGTCGAGCTGGTCTCAGAGTTCCACTGTAAAATTGCTGTTGTGCTCCAGGCCCCTGGAGTCAGCAGATAGTTTATGGAATAGGGCTTGAATCTATACAAATGTCTTCTCTCATGCCTTTGTTGACTGACTCCAGCGTCTATCAAAGGCAAATTTAACTCTATCTGTAATGTTCTAAAACTTTAAAACTGTAGAACTTATTACTTGGGTAATAAAACTTAAAACAAATGGCAGCACATAAGCACCAAGTGTTAATAGACTAATGATGAGTAATATTTTCCTTTTTTGGTTTTTAGTTTTCAAGCCTTACATTATAGAAGTAAGTTGTTTCTAGGTAGACAAAGCTAAACACTTATGAGTAAAAAAGCAACCTTGTATTTCGATCTACATTGTAAGTGTGGTTTTAAGTATATTTTCTATTATAAAAAAGATGTTGTAAACTTCCAAAAAAAAACTGGGCTAGCTATAGCAGATGGGAAGGCTCTGTTTGTATGTATAGAGGGCTGGACCTCAGTTTTCTGGTATCTGAAGTATTTACAGTTTCAGAGACCTTTTTAAAGAGAAAATACAATGTATGAGTCCAGAATTCGTAGGACCCCTCCCAAGTCTTGAAAGAACTGAAATTTAAGCTCCCCTCATTTCAAGGTGTGCAGACATCTAAAGGCAGCAAAGGAAGAATCCATGTTGAGTGGGAGAAGACCAGTCCTGCATTACTATAGTATGCACTGTGTCTTGGCGTTACTGTGTTTTGCATGTGTTAGTCCACTTAATCCATATAAAAATCCCAAAAGATAGGTAATGAGTGTTTTTTTTGGTATTTTTTAGTAATTGAAATGTAATTGCCAAACAATATATACCAAATCAGATGTATAACCTAGTGATTTGACAATGTGCAAACATTACTAAATGCTCACCATGGTAAGTATAGTAGTGTGGTTACCATCCGTCAACATACTAAAAAATTAGAGTATTATTGGCTATAGTCCCTGTGCTATATTTCCATCTCCATGACTAATTTATTTTAAAATGAAGGTTGTAGATACTGGTTCTTTTTTTTTTACTTTTTTTAAAATTGAAGTATTGTTGATGTAAAATCTTCTGTTGGTTTCAGATGTACAACATAGTGGTTCAGTCATTACCCATATTATTAAATCCTCACCCCCACAAGTGCAGTTACTTTCAATATAGTAAGTAGATGGTGTTCTCAATTTATTTTACTTATGAGGAAATGGAGGCACTGAGACACAAAGTGGAGAATACCTGCCATATCTGTATTCCTTGTAAGGGGCAGAACCTGAATTTGATTTGTTCAGTCTTTTTCCAAAACAACTAAATGCCTTCTCTCTGCGAGAACAGCAGAGGGTAGGAATTTTTGGGGCCATCCTGTGCTGAAACCTTAGCAATTGCCTATTCCCAAAGGGCCGTTTTCACTGAAGTAGCATAACAGTGTGACTTATGGTACAATAATAAAGCTAGGAAAAGGATCATATTTAGATTCAACACAGATTAATAGGAGTAGAAAGCTAGTGAGAAAGATATTTACAAGTATCTAGACATTAGTATTTCCTATCACATACTCCTACTATAGTATGCTGTCAGTATATTTGGCTACATGAATAAGGATTTCTATTTTTATTGGAAAGAAAGAGAATGGATGAGTGTGCTGATGTGTGCCCTAATTGTCTATGCCTATGTCAAGTGAGTGTTGCCATTTAGACCAGGAGGAACAGGGCCAGCCACATCCATGGACCCAAATGAATCGAGGTGGCAGTATCTAAGGGGAAATCCATCTCATACACACCAAAGCTCAGAATGTGAAATTAAAATAATGTTGAGCATCATGGAGATGGAGTATCTTCCATCTTGTTTTCTTACACTAACGCTGTTGAGGATACATAATATACTTGCCTCCCAGTATCGGTAATTCACTAATCAGTGATTCCAAAAATGGGAAGAAGAAAGTCCAATCTGATTCACAGCAGTGGACGAGGCATGAATAATTTAAAAATAACCTCTAGCTGTTTCCAATTCCTCTACTGAAATAAAGGACTGAAAAGCACCTTCCTGGGTTATAGATTTAGTTACATATTTCAAATAATTATCCCGTTTTAAGTCTTTTATCCTCCTAGGCATGTTAATAGGACACTGGAATATTAAACAGCATAAAACAAAACAAAAACCAATCATGTGAGCCTGTTTCTTAATCTGCTGCCTAAAGAGACTCATAAGGAGACTTTGCCAGCAAAGAATAATCTAGGGTACTGAGTGGTATCACAGCATCCAAGTGAATTGTAGTGCCCATTTTTCCTGTGTGTGGTTGCACAGATTTTCACACAGTGTTGTATGTTGCATAAAGAAAGGTGGAATTGAGAAGTTTTCAAAAACTTTTCTTCTTTCCGATGCTCATTTATACTGTACGGTGATTTCAAGCAGGTCCTTTTGTGGCACTGTACACCCTTAAAATGAATAATGGTTCTTTGAAAACAATGCATATTTTTGAGTGATTCTTTTTCAGTGATTTTTACAGTGCCAGTCTACCTATAAGTTCATTAAATATTACGTGTAGCTAGATAGCCTCTTTCTAATCAAAGTGTAGTAACGGTACTATTAGTGGCACCTAAATATGTAAAGGAGATCTGTTAAAAATGGATGTGTAGTTGTAGATGTAAATGACTGTGAAGGTAAATATAAAAGCTGTGAATATAAATCAACCTTTGTAAATGTGAATTACATTTTCTCTCTTAAAAATGTATAAAAACAAAAATGTTTTCATGGAAAAAAGTTTTGCTCAAGAACTTAATATAAATTGTGTATAAGAGTTTAGTATATAAATAGCACAGTATAAAGAAATAAGCACTTTCTTGGTGAAATAACACTAAAAATGTCACTAAATACTAATGCTGTCCTTGAAATTTTGTCACCACAGGACAAGACCTGCATGAGATGGAGAGATTCCTGTCTACACTGTAGCTCTGCCTTTTAGTAGTAGTAGTATTTCTTTTTTAAACGTCAAGTTTTAAGCTTAGAGATTTTGGCCAGGGCTAGTATTAACCTATGCATTTCTACAGTGGCTAAGTTTGTTGGGATCTTAAATGGTATCTGGTTGTGCTGCTGATTTGGTATCATTTAGAAACTTTATTGGTGATTCTGACCTTGGATCATGGAGGGGGCCGTGGGCCGTTGGTTTTGGTGAGGTTTTCCATCATGTTTTAATCATTTAATTGTCATGTGCCAAGGTTTGCTGTAGGCGGGACCACATCTCCTTGAGATTTAACTTCAGAGTCGGCTGGCAGAGGGGCCAGCTGCGTTGCATTGTAGACATTTTGATCTCTGCACCTACACTCAGTTTGATACTTAGCCTGTCGTTTTCCCCAGGTCTCTATCCACCAAGAGCTAAGCTGGTAATACAGAGGCATCTCTCATCACTGACCGATAATGAGCAAGCTGACATATTTGAACGAGTTCAGGTAATGTTATTTGTTCTTCTCACAAATAAGAAACACGATACAAGGAATGAGAATTGGATCCTGTTTCTGTAAGATCCTTTTTTTTGTTTCTGTATCTGGAGTTAAAGATACAGACTCTGTTGTATGATTTGATGGTCATTAGAATGCTGCTTTTGTCTTGAAGGGCTGTTAAATGCTTAACTTTATTTATATCTGTCTACCAGACACATAAACCAAGTGGGAATTAAATAAAATGAGAGAAGCTGTGTTGCCATAGTGTGCTCTCGCCTTGTCTGTTCCGCAGAAAATGAAGCCAGTCAGCGACCAGGAGGAAAACGAACTTGTGATTTTACATCTGAGGCAGATGTGCGAAGCCAAGCAGAGGACACACATCCACATTGGAGAAGGCCCATCGGTAAGCAGATGTTTGCTCCTTGACCTGCTTTTGTTTTGTTTATATATTCAGTCAAAATATCACAGACAATGGGAAAGAACTTTCTTTTCTTTGTGCTCTCATCTTGAGAGCTAAAGTCCTATCATATTTGTTTTAAAGCATTTTAGGAGTTTTATAGGACATTTTAGCAGGCATTGTCACATCAAAATAAAATAATAACGGTTTTAAAATGTAAAAATTTTGTACTTCTTATTGCTTTACACAGCTTTGAATGGGAAATAAATAGCAAACCTCCAAAGTAGGAGTCATATGGTAACAGCTCTTCTAGCTGCAAACTAAGGGATAATATATTTAGAATGTGTTCGCAGCTGCATATAGATAAAGCAAGACTATAAGCAGCAGCAGTAAGGAGATGATGACATGTTTATGTTTTAATAACACTAACTCAGGTTATGTCTTTACTCCAGTCTATCCAAAATGAATCACATATCACTTTATTAGTGATGCCTTAGTTTATTCATTGAACAAGCTCTTCTAGAGAACCTTTCACAAACCAAGCTGTGTGATGATGGCATGTGCTGGTGCTTTAGGGTACACTTGGGGGTCAGTGGAGAAACAGGCAGGAAGGGTGGGCAATGACGAGATGATGAGTGGCCTGGTGTGTTAGGCCTGACTTTGTCACTGAAGGATTTCAAGTAAGACCGTGACAATATCAGATTTGTATTGTGAAGAGATGATTCTGCTGTCCAGTGATGGTCAATTTGTGGGGTAGATTGGTGGGTGAGTGGGTTGACAGTGTAGGGCTGAAGGCACATTCTCAAATTAAGGTAATTTTATAATGGAATATGCAAAAAGTGGTTCATTTAACTATTGCATGGACTTCTATCAAGTGTGTATTGTGTACCAGGCAGTGGTGAAAAACAATGACAGCTCTTTTCTGCCATCTAACTGTTTGGGAGGAGAAATCAAGATGCCATCAAATAAATAAAAATATGGAAATATGGTGTGATTGATACACGGATATGCATTTTCAGGAGACAGAGATAGCACTGTTACCTAAATAGATAGAATGAGCCTGTCTTGAAAAGTTTATTTTGTCACAGAGAAAAGCTGATTAGCGCACTGGAGACGTGAGGAAAGGCTGGTTAGGAGGCATGATCCCTGGGACTTACTGACTCCATACATTTGTAAGGGGAGGGAGTTGCTGGGAGAAACTTCAAAGTTCAGATTTGGGAGAATTGGATGGCACTGAGCTAGGAAATATAGGAAGAAGACAAGAGTGGGTAAAGGGATGGAAATAAGACGTAAGAGTCAATTTTGGAAATGTGTTTGAGATTCAGTTAGAAATATGGATATGGTATCCTTGGAAGAATTCAAATTGATGGTGGAAGACAGTGAGTTTTGCTTATTTCCATCCTTGGCGGTGACAGTGATGTTGACCAGGAGGCCAGAAGCGTGGGTGAGTTGGGATGGGCATTTTCTTTGTGGTGGACGACACGAAAGATCACAGAGGAGGCTTTAACAAAATGTTTCTTTTTTCCTGCTAGTAGTTAAGTTCTTCTTTCTCTCTTTCTTTTTCTATTCTTCCCTCCCTCTTTTCCTTCCTTCCTTTTATTCACCTGGTATGTACTGAGTAGCTGCTGTGTCAGACATTGTGCTGCATGGTGCCAATTTCCCTATTTTAGCCATGTCATTTGTCTGAAAGCCTTAGAGTATTGAGTCATCCCAGTCCCTGACACCCACTGTGAGCCCAGTTCAGCTCACATCCATATCCACTGTTTTCTTTCCTATTTCCTTTCTTGATGGGGGTGGGGGGGTCATAGTTCTCTTATCAGTAACTTCTTAGATGAAACCACGGAGCCAGTTCTAGGATGGATTGTTTTTTTTTTTTGCCTCCTGCATAGATTGTGCTGAAGCTTCCAGTCTGGACATTCAGTTTCTAATTTCCTTGTCCTTTAGGTGATGTTTGAACACTCCTTTCCAATATATCTCCCCCAGACATTACTTTCACAGTGATGCCCCTCTGCTTACAAATTCTGATCAGTGACTATTCCTGTTCTGGGGGGTTTATCTCCAGCCTCACTGGTCCCAGTTACTTTCCACAGCTTCCCTCTGTTTTAGCCAATTGCCTGCACTGACTCCCTGTCCTGTGAACAGTGGTCTTTATGGCGCTAATACTACTTCCAATGCTAGGAATGTCTTGATCGCCTTTTTTTCTGCCTGTCTGAATTTTGCCCATCCTTTTCTCCTGACCTCTGAGACCCACAACCGATCTTCATGCTTTATATTTGATACTTAAACATTGCTTTGTGTCTCTGCTTAATGTGAATATATTTCCACAAGGCAAATGATAAGGTTTCTCTCGTGGATGTTTTCTGGCATTAAGAACCATGTAATACAGTAGCTTCTTAGTTCAATAGGATCTAATATATAGAGAATCTGCAATCTGAACACATTGTATATTTGCATACATTTTAGTACTATCAGTGAATACTTATTAATTTAAGAGATAAATGAGCTGCTCACAAGTGAAAATAGAATTATAATAGCATTAGAAGAATCCAGTCTTTACTATAAAATGATTTCTTCCTTGAAACTTATTTCTTGTGTTTTCCCTGGTCATTTGGATACAAAACGTGCAACTTGGAAAAGGATGGTTATAGTTGTTAATCAAAATAACAGCAGAAAAATGGGCATCTCAAGTTAATTTTTGTCAAATGCAGCAGGAATAGATTAGCCAAAAGGAAAGATATAAAGGAAAGACCTTATGTCTTTTTTATTACTTACAATATTAAAAATTAAGCCCTTTTTATTATAATGTATGTGTGTTCACGTTGTGGAACCTAAATTATTACTCCTTAATAGAGCTACAAAAGAATTTTTGTGCTTTTTAATGGCTTAGTCATAAGTCCTGAAAACCTCATTTAACCTTAAGTATTTCCAATCTAAAATTTACCTGTTTTTCTTTCTATAGACTTTTTCAAATAGTACAATCCCAGAAAATGCAGCCAGCAGTGGAAGGTTCAAACTTGACATTCTGAAAAATAAAGCTAAGAGATCCTTAACCAGCTCCCTGGAAAATATCTTCTCAAGGGTAAGATTAAACAAACTCTTTTAGGTATTAATGTCTGTGTTTTGTAACTGCTTTGCTTCATTCTCATCTGGCTCACAGATTTCCTTAAAAAAAAAAAACCACTAAGATAACTTGAGTTAATACTTATTTAAAATAATCTCTCAAAATAAGTTTCATTCTCAGATCTAGATTTATTCTGGTGCCTCTAATATCTGAATCTGAGCAATAGAGATTTCATAGTGGAGATAACATATTTAGAAAAGGGGAAATACAGTATTGATGCCCAGAACAATAAGAACTTTTTATCGTTTACCACTTAAAATTATAAAGAACCCCTTTTTTTGTTCATTCTTAGGAGCTGATAGGGAATGCTGAAAACAGTTAAGTATAAACCAACAGAAGTGTATCTATTCCATTTCGTAAATTTGTATATTCTATTTAAAAATAAGCAAAATGATTCCTTGCCCCCTTTATTGTCCTCTTCCTGAACAATTTGGTCGTAAAGCTGTTAGGTGAGATCAAGCAAGGTCTTAGGGCTGGGGGCCAGGAGAGCCGTGTGGCTCAGAGCAGGCAGACAGAGATGATTGGGGTACTGGGTGTGGTGGCCCAGTGAGGCATGTGGAAATCGGAGTGTGGTGGGAGGGGTGTCGGCTTAGGAGGGCAACTGGTTTGGGAAGTCAGCAGACAAGGAGGCCGTCCCTGCAGAGAAAAGGTCTATGCAGAGTTGGAGCCAGAGTGGAGGAGAGAAAGCATTCTAGGTGCCTGACACAGGGAGTACGAATCTGACAGTATGGGGATGGCAGCTACATGGGGTGGGGGGAGCACCCCCTATTGTAGGATGAGGAGAGTGTTGCAAGGTGACACCTGTGATGATTGGTTACACACAGGGGACTGGTCAAATATGTAAATGTCTGAAGGATTCTGGGAGAAGGGAATTACAAATATGAAAAGGGAGGAAATGAGAATGAATCTTGTGTTGTTGGATTCAACTCACAGGTAACAATGTGGAATCGTGGTTATCTGGCTTTCTCTATATATATTTTTGGTATCATTAGTCTACAGTTACATGAGCAACATTATGTTTACTAGACTCCCCCCTTCATCAAGTCCCCCCACATACCCTATTACAGTCACTGTCCATCAGCGTAGTAAGATGCTGTAGAATCATTACTTGTCTTCTCTGTGTTGTACAGCGCTCCCCGTGTTTCTGTATATTTTTGAGTGATAGAGTTTTATATATGAGATTATACATGTATAACATATATATTAGCATATATATATATGTGTGTATGTGTGTGTTTACGTATGGTCCCTGGCTCTGTCCATTGATAGGGGCTGGAAACAGCCTTTCTATTTGTACATATCATAAACTAAGCCTGGTTGGGTGACACCTAACACCCAGATACTGGTTTCTGTATATCATTCTGTAAGAAGGAAACAGGCTCCTGGGAGAAATGGCTAATTCCAGGGTGGCAGGGAAAGTACAAGGTAAGTCTGGAACATCTTGGTGTTCTAGAAAGAAAAAAAGTATTCAGAGAAAGGTGGCGAGGTATCATAAAGACATAAAAACCTCAAAGGGCTTCCATTGTTAACATCTGATACAATATAAATATCAGAATAAATTATTGTAGCCTGTTGCATAAAATAGGAAACCATAAGGCTATTCTGATATGAAAAATAAATGAATACATTGAAAGTTTGATTGTGATCAGGATGTTTGCTGGATTTAATTAATACCTATTAATGACTAAGGGGAAAGAGTAACTTTACAATGGAGAAGGCTAGCAGTCACCACCTTAATCAAGTGATCAAATTAAACATCATTAGCAATGGGACAAATTGAAATCCTGTGTCACCTATATACGAAGAATATATAGCACCATTTCTGTGGTATTTCTCCCAAAGGGGCAGTACCTGAACCTAATCATGAGGAAACATTAACAAACCCAACTTGAGGTCCAGTCTACAAACTAACTAGCCTGCTGTCTGCAAAAGTGTCAACGTCCAGGAAGTCAAGAGTACGAAGAGCTTTAGGACATAGCAATTTCTGATACATGATATTGTCATATTTATTTCTTTGCTAGAATGCAGAATGCTTTTATAGGTCTTTCTCTTAATGAATGAGATTCTAATTCTAACAAAAGTCCTGCAGCAATCTTGCTCAGCTCTCATTATTTTACCAGCAGAAAACAGAATCTAGGAAAAAAAAGCATCTAGAAGATTTGTCAGAGGTGTGTTAATACATCTTTTCATAAAATAGTCCTACTTTTTTTCTTTCATAGTTGATTCATTAGTTACATTCTTTCTTTCTTTCTGTCCTTCCATCCTTCCTCCCTCTCTACCTTCCTCCCCTCTCCCCATAGTGTTTAGTAAGAATATTAGTAGAAAGGCCATTTAAGTAGATGGACAAGAGACATGAATTTATGACCAGTCCTCAGCAGGTTTTAATTTATGATCTTAGACAAATTATTTACCTTTTCTAAGCCATCGTTTCCCTATTTGTGAAGTGGACATGCCAATACCTGCTCTGTGACATGGCTATAAGGATGAGATGTCACTTAAGTCAGGAAAATGACACACTGTATAGATGTGAGGTAGTATGAACAGCAGTAAGCTCTGAAATGTCTGTGGTTTGCAAAATGACCAAAGGGTATTTAGAATGTCACTCCCTGTATCCCCATTTAGCACCTTGGCATTCTGTGCAGTACTTGCATAGCTGACTTTACAGTATCGCTTACATAGCCTTGAATGGCTGCAATGACTCTTTGAGCAAGGGCACAGCCAATCTATTTTGGTTAAGGTGGATACTGTAGCTTTTGTGTCCCAAAGTGCTGCCAAACGCCATGAATCATGTGCCCTGCCGAGGTCGTGCTTGTCCCATGTATGGCAGAAGAGACTTACTGGGAAGGTTGGCGGCTATCCCTGTTGTACCAAAGGTTATACTGAAAAGGGGTTTTGTTCATTTTCAAAATGTGTCCATTTATTTTTTTCCCTCTGAGTGAGTTCTGTAGTAGAAAATTGACACTCTAGTCATAGAGTTTAGCTCCTGATTGCTGCCATTTTTAAATGTCAAAATATTTTATTTAACTAACTCTAGTTGTTTATACACTAGGATACATTTTTAAAATGCTTAGAAACTCAGCTTATTAACAATTAAAAAGTGGATCCAAGGGAAAAGGCTAGACATGTGTATTACTAAATCATAATAGTGAAACTAGACAAGCTGTCCATTCAAAGATGAACAGGCCTTCTCGTGTTCTGGTTGTCTGTTGCTTTTTCTTAAGTTGAGTTTTTCCAAAAAAGAAATATTTACTAATACATTTGTGAATAGATATATGTTTCCAAATGAGGAATATTTACTCATATAAAGTGTGAGTCCTTGGAAAACTGTCATTTCCTGCTTCCTTTAGAGTAATACCCATTGTCCTTACTTGTTGTAATGTTTGAATTAATGATTGTGGTAGAGTATAATTTTAAAGTATGTTCATTTTCCTTTGTGCATGTGTATGTACATAGATACAAATGTGGATAAAACACACCTATGGGTAAAATGTGTAATTCAAGTTGCTTTTCTAATATGGAAATGACTTGATACTAATCAGACTACTTTCTCTAATTGAATGAATAACCTGTTGAAGCTAACCAGGCAGGTTGACATGTAAATAGCAGCTAAAAAATAGCAGACAGTGACCCAGTTCTTAACAGTATTTTCCTCTTGGTCATATGCAGGACCCCAATAACATATTAGCCACAAATACAGGTTATCACTGGAAGTATGTCATGTTATAAAACTAAAGAACTGAAAAAACCTTAGTCAGGTTTAGGACATTTGCAAAACTACACTTAAGATTGAGTAAAAGCTCAAGGGCTTCACTTTTAAATTCCACTTCCTGGGTTCAAATCTCTGCTCTGTTTTTTAACTATCTGTATAAAGCTTGGCAATATAATGTATCAGAACTTCAGTCTCTTCTGCAGAGTTGAGCTAAATAGCCATATCTACCTTGTAGAATTTTTGTGAGGATTAAATGAGATAACACAGAATAAAATGCTTCTTATTGTGTATGTCACATGATAAGCATTCAGTAATATTAGTCAGCTATTTTTATTGTTGATATAATTGTTATTTAGGGATCTACTACAGATAGAAAACTATAATGAATATACATAGATAAGAATAAATATTACTTCTGTGAATCAAGATAGGATACCACAAATATAAAACAGTTGATTGAGAACAAGAAAACACTTTTAAAACTTTCTGATAGTAGACATAAAAAAAAATTCAATAGAAGGCTAGAAAGGGAGAGTTGAAAAAGTTTTCCAGAAAATAAAGCAAAATGACAAATGGGAAATAGAAAAACAAAGTAAAAAGTTAAGGACCAGTCTGGAGATCCAAAACCCAAATGGTAGGAATTGCAGAAAGAGCAAATTTTCTAAGAAATAATTTTTAAAATTTCTCAGAGCTGATGGACATGTTTCAAGATTTAATGGGCTCAGGAAATGTACAGTAGAATGACTGAACAAAGCCATGCCAAGGCTCATAGTTGTAAAATTTCAGAACACCCATGGGTAAATTTAGATTCTGTTCTAGAGAGAAATAGCAGGTCACACACATATGGGCCCTGGGATACCAACAGCATTAGACTACTGCTGCAGAAGATTCTTGAGCAATGCCAACATACTCTGAAGGGAAGATTCCAAGCAGAATTTCATATTCAGCTAAACTATTAATGAAATACAGGCATAGAGTAACAACATTTACAGACATATGAAGTTTTCAGAAATAGACTCTCCAGGCTCCGTTTCTCAGAAAGCACCTGGAGTATGCATTCCACCAAAATGAGGAAGTCAGCTGAAAAAGAGGAAGGCATGGGACCAAGGAAACAGAAATCCCAACAGGGTAGTAGTAAAGGAAATTTCCAGTTTTATAGTGAAGGAAATTACTTGACAAGTCTGAATTGCAGCCTTTCCAAAATGGGGCAAGAAGACAGAGGTTTCCATAATGGGGAGTTCAAAGAAAAAGGGAAAAACTTGTAATTGATTTGATTGGGTGATGTTTGCACTGAGTTCTGATGGTGCCTTTTGTAATAAATTAGTGATTACCAAGGTCATTGTTAACTACATGAAAAACAAATTGTACAAGATACGAGCTGTCATAATAGTAAAGTATGCAGCTGAGGTACAAACAGTATTTGCAGAGTCATAGCATTGATGCACAAAATACAGATTTAACTGAAATTTGTGATACAAGTATATTGAGAAAGGGAAAGAGAAAGGATGTATGGGGGCAGGTAATGAAGTAAGAATACTGAAATCTCATCTTCCAGACTAGAAAGTCAATAGATTATTTAAAATGGAAAGGTTACTGAAAAGTGGTATGGAAGCACTGATATAAATAATAGTTTCAAGTGTTTGCTTTTAGGAAATGGGATTCAACATGTGAGACTACCACTTTTATTATAACCTTAGTAGCACAATTTTTGAAACTTTGTGCAGGTGTTAACTTCGATTAAAAATTAAACTGAAATTTAACTCCCTGCCCCTGGAAAAAATCAAACCCAAGGATGTGTGAAGATGAACCAAGGCCGTGTGAAGTGCTATAAATATTGGAGAGCTATATAAATATATTTTTTAAATTTTTCAGTCACTGCCACACTGATTTGGTTTATATTTCTAGTTATTCTTTTTAGAACTTTCCCATGAGTTCCAAGCTGGGTAGAAGTCCCAGTCTGCATTTTGTCTCATAAGACCTTCTCTACAGTGTGCTTCGTGTGCTTCCCAAACTGCCTTAGCATCCTCCCTCTTTCAGTAGTTGGCTTGGGTTTCTTCCTGGACAGAGTGAGGGAAATAGATGAGAGGGTCTCTCTGGTTCCTCTTTCTTATCATATGTAAAATCTATACCAAAGGACTATGTGAAAAGAAAAACAAGAAGCAATTTACTGAATTCAGAAAAGTACTGAAGCGGACGGACATCCAGTCTTCTAGAGAGAAATGCCTCATGAGGTGGTTTTACATGATGGAAAAACAAACGAAGCTAAATCCGTACATTTTAACTGTAGTTTTCTCTTTGTAACCTGTTTGTTATAATCCTGTCATGTGAATTAGGAGGTTTATAATCTAGGGTGTATGATGGTTGGCTGTATTAAACCATTTTCTTTATAACTCCTGTGGTTTGTTATGCTGTGCTGTCCACATTTGTGTTTACCTGTATGAGACACCAAGTTAACAGGGCTTTCCCTGATCAAAGAGGTGTCTCCTACTCTTGTGGACACATAATGTTTAACTTTGTAACCGAAATAACTTCAGAAAGCTTGGTCTGAGCATCTAGTTCTCTAATAGCTGATTTGGAAATATTGGAAATGGACTGTGAATAGTTCTATTTACTGTGCTGGTATGGCTGTTAATACCACCAACAAATTGGAATGAACCACAAAAAGGATCAATTTAATGCTAACATAAAGAGACAACTGCCTTTTATCATTCTAAAATAAAAATTCAAGCCATATGAATATTTTAATTTTACTCTCCACTCAGGGAGCTAACAGAATGAGAGGTCGGATTGGAAGTACGGACAGTTTTGAACGGTCGAACAGTCTTGCTTCGGAGAAGGTATCTAATCAGAGCTCCATTTTTTACTATCAATTGCAATCTGGGAAAATCAACACTAATATAGTTACCATGCACACTTAGTTATTTTGTTATGAGTCCTTTTATGACTTTCAAAAAATCAATATTTGAGGTTTTATTATATTGGATAAGAAGGTTATGAATAGTGGCGTGTAACTCTTTATTCAGCTGAAGTTTTCTCACATTTGGACAGAACACACCTTTCCAGGCTAATTGCTCTATGAGGCTTTTTACTGTATGGAGAGATTGTGCTTTGGGACAGTATTTGAGCAACTGCTGATCCAAAGCCATAGAAAAATGAGCCGTGTAATTTGCTGCCCTTGTACAGTGATCTTTTTACCTTTTATTCTTTCCCCGTGTTACTCCCCCACCTCCATTTTTTTTTAACCATTTTAATTGTAAGGTTAGGCTTCTTTTTATCTCACAGACAATTCTCAGTAGGTTTGATTCCCCATTTTCTGTATCATGCAGCGTGTATCCTGAGGCACATGCAGCCTATATTATTAAATGGAAAAATAGTAACGGTATTTTTTTCTAAACTTTCTGTTGATAGAATTGAGGACTTAGTCCAGCTATGCGTCTGTTAGCTCTAACCCATGTTTATCAAGCTCAGCATTTCTGCAGTGGTGCCTGTTCTGGAAAGTGTAAACAGCATACCTGTCTAAACGGAAGATTTATGTTGTCTGCCCATGCAATATGAGAGGCATTCCGACGTTTGCTCACTTTTCATTCATTTCCTGTTTTTCATTTCTTTAAAAAAGTTTTACCTCAGGGAACATGTAATTGGATAGAAACATCCACACTGAAGGAAGATACGTTAAGAAGCTTTATTTTATTTTCCTCAAGGTTTTGCCCTGAGACTTGGACCCGTAAGCATTGTGATATTGTTTTGACAGTACAGGAAGCGTGCAACTGATAAGTCACGGAAATCAAGAAATGTGTAAATACAGACTCCACCCTCTTTCGGTCATGATCTCTTTTCATCTTTGTGGTAACAGTGAGAAAAGTACAGTAGCTGTAGCATTTTACCACAAAGTGTTAGGGGAAAGAATACCTTTTCTTATCGTCCTTTCTCTTTCTGCCTATCTTGATGAATGCTATCTTCCAGCTGCTTATCAGAAGAAATGGGTTGTGGTGATAATGATTAGCCTTCAGCATGGATTGAAGAAGCATGGAAAGAAGAAAAAAAAAAAAAACCAGTTTTGTCCTGACTCAGGAGGAAGAAGAGGCAGCCTGTCATTTGCGAGCTTTGTCTTGAAGCGGCTCTGCCATGATCCATGTAGGAAAGAGACCTCACTTCTGCTTGATTTTCAGGATTATTCACCAGGAGACTCTCCACCAGGGACACCACCAGCCTCCCCACTGTCCTCAGCTTGGCAGACGTTCCCTGAAGAGGATTCTGACTCCCCGCAGTTTCGAAGACGGGCTCACACGTTCAGCCACCCACCTTCAAGCACAAAGAGGAAGCTGAATCTCCACGAAGGGAGGGCTCATGGTGCTCGCTCCCCTCTTCTGAGGCAGGGCTCCAGCGAGCAGTGCAGGTGAGTCCAGACCTCCTGCCAGGGAGTGAAATCAGATTCTCCTGTCACCCTCTCTTAATCACTGTGGAGTCAAGATTTGTTATGACTTCATCCTGTAGTCAAGTTTTCATAGTTAGAAAGACCATTAAAACAAATTGAATTATAAAATCCTTAGTTATTAAGGGAAACAAGGCAAGTTTTAAGGCACACCCAGAGAAAAGTTAAAGCACTGTGGATGAAAACATGTCCCCCCTCCCACCCCCAGAAAACGGAGAAAATAAGATGTCACGCAGTTGTTTTTTCTGAAAAACTTGCTGATAGCAGATGTTACTCAGTGTCCTCTGGGTGATGGCTGGAATGAAGCAAAGTCAGCAAATTTGAAAATAACATACATAGCAGTAGAATTTCCTGTTAGCCTTTGATAAAATACAAAGGTTAAAAAAAACCCACCTAAATCACCTTCATACATGAGACAAAATTAGGCTCTGTCTCCTTTCATAATAAACTACAACCTGATATGAAAACAATTACAACTTTTATTTATAATAAAGTGTTATCACTGAAGAAGAACACACACACACCATAACTGACAGGAAGTGTCCATTGGAAATATTTAAAAAATTAATTATTAAAAACGAATTCAACAAAATCGTTTGGCATTTGGGCAAACCTGGAATTTTAGAAAGATTATACATCTTGCTGTGTAGCACAAATCAGAATTTATAGCCTAGAGCTAGTTTTGTTTCTTTCCTGCACCTGTGTGTTTGATACAGAAAACAGAGTGATAGTGATCCCAGTTGGGAAAAAAAAATCCTCTGAATAAGAAGTTTAACTTTCATTTAATTTCTTATGAAACTTACCAGCATGTCTTTTAAGGATACAATTTTATTCACATTGCTGTTTCTCCAATAATTTGAGATCAAAAAACAAGATCTTAAGGACATATACAAATAAAGCAAATTAACAGAATTATCTTCAGATTTTCTTTTATGAAAAAAGATGAAATATTCCTGTGTATATTGAGAATTTTTTTTAATGATCACTTCATTTATATTTACCCAAGTCAGTAAGTCTCTTCTTTCCAGGGAAATTTATCTTCAAGAATATAAAACACTAATTAGACTTTAAGTGATTTCCCTTCTTTCCTACATTTTCCACATTTTGTAATGTACATACTCAGACAACTTGTATCAATATATAAAAAGATCTTGTTTGTATCACTGTAAAAATTTTCTAGGAAAATCTTAAAAAAAATGCCATGTGGAAGATTCAGGGATTCAGATTAAAGCATGCCTGCAAAATGAAATGGCACAGGTGGTGGGAAAGAACATGAACTTTAATGTTTATTAAGCCAAAGGAATTATGATGATTTCTAGCAACCAAACATGTTGTTCTTAGATTTTTAGAAAACTTTATATTTTTAAAACAGTTAAGTCTTTGAACTACTGATAACCAGTTTTTCCTTCTGGAACTTGTTTCCTGTAATTATTTATGCTTTCCTACTTTTCTGCCTTGAAGTATCTTTTGCATGTAAAACAAACACTTTTGGTCCTAGAATTGTTAAGAATTTTTTAGATACAAGCACGGTTAGAAATACTCCATAGAAAAGGACTTCAATATTTGAAAGCATGAGCTAGGTCATCCTTTAAATAGAAAACTGCATGGTCCTTTTTTTTCCATAGAAGATTCAGCCTTTAGCTTTTAGTGGAAAGATTAAACTAATAGCAAGAACCTGTGTATATGCTTTTTCATAGTAAATGAAGATTTTGCCAAAATATAAATTAAGACAAATTTGCTGTATTTTCTGTACTCAGCATTCTTCCATCAGCGCGGCGCATGTACAAGGAGAGTAATTCTTCCTCCAGTCTTCCAAGCCTTCATACTTCCTTCTCTGCCCCTTCCTTCACTGCCCCCTCTTTCCTGAAAAGCTTTTACCAGAATTCAGGTAGACTGTCCCCACAGTATGAAAATGAAATCAGGTGAGATCAGTGTCCTCTGTTTGCAAAGCAAAATTTTCTGCAGTGATATACTGATAAGTTACTAAAAAGTGGCTAATTAATTTTGGAGTGTCATTTATGCATTGATATGCTGTGCTTGTTCTAATCCATTTGTGATATACTGGCTTCAATTCCAATTAGTTTTATGAAACCAGTGTTTCAAAGCTTTTTTATGACATGGTGCTATTTTTGAATTGCATATATATTTTTGTATTATTTGTGTGTTTCTTTGCCTTGGAGCACAGAGTCTAAGCTTTGTATTGTTTGGAACAAGAACTGGTGCTAACACATACTAAGCAAATCTCCCCTAATCGTGCCTTGTTTTCTTAACTTCTTTGGACATATCTTATAGAATCCAAAAGCCACTGATTTGAACAACTGTGCTAAAGTAATAGATATAATGTATCTCTATTTTTAATTACACAGAATATTTCCCAGTCATTTCTTTGATTTTTCAATGACACAGATGTACTTTCCTGCATCTTAGTGTAGGTCACGTAATGGGTACGGGATCATGTTGTATCTACTCTCTCAGTGTGAGAGATCTCTTGAATCTTGTAGACATTTGATTTGTTTTGTGTTTGTATCCAGTCTTGAAAACATATATCCTATTAAATCTTATTCTTTGCTCTTTTATGTGTACAACATTAGATGTAGTGGCTTTTGGAGAATTGGCTTTTTAAAAAAAAAAATTGAAATTATGAAATCTGGTTGTTTGAATTGTACTAGTTGTTTATAGCCTTTGCAAAGTGTTGGATAGAATTGGGAATTTTTCTAAGTTGTTAGCTAAGAAGTTTGTGAGATTCATTCTGGTTTTTATATGAAATGACTCATTCATTCTTATTGCTGTATAGTATTCCATTTAATACACCACAGTCTATTCATTATCTTGTTGATGGGCTTGTGGGTTGTTTCTAATTGGCAAGTCCTATGTTATCAGCCAGCCCATGTGCCACTAAAATCTTACTTTTGGGCTCCTCCCTTTTAGGCTTAGGAAATACCAAAGTTAACATACTAGGTAACCTAGTTAAAATATAATCCTTGAGTTATCTCTGAGTATCTTTTCTCCATGTGTGCCAATTATTTTTCACTCCAAGCAAGGTAATATTGGATTAATAAAATTTCGAATGTGAACTTACATCAGAATTTGTGCAATGTAATGATCAAACATTGAATTTCTAGTGAAGAGAGCTGATAACTGATTATAAAGGTTTTTCAGGAACAACCTTACGGGAAAAGAATTAAAGGAAGTTAGCCACAAAAATAGTAAAATATGTATGGAATATGCAATGAATTTAGAGAACCAAGAATGCACACATATAAACATATCAGTTTGCCTTACCTATTAATAAGAATACAACACTGTCAACAAAACTTATTTGCTGTTTCTTACTGTTAAATTAGTTAAAGTGAGCATCTGGAAAATTCCGATTTTCTTCTAGAAGGAGAACCATGCCTGTAAGTGACAATGAGGAATGGCCATTAAGGTGGTCAGATGTTAGCTGTGAAAAGGATGTAGGGTGCAAAAGCAGCTTTTTAAAAAGAAATTATTTATAGTTTTTAAAGAAATGGAAGATATTTCATATTTACCTTCAATAGTTCCTGCTTAGGAGTATGTATTATTCTTATTCATAGCTTCCCTCAGCTCTCTGTACTTCAGCCTAATGGAAGGATGTTGAAGACAGAGGGCAAATGTGTGTTAATTTTGCATTGAAAAATGTCATTTTTTTGAAGCTCTCTTATTTGAAGTGCTATATTTTAACATGTGGAGAACTTTTCAATTTGTAGGATCATTGAAAATCATCCTATTTTTCTGTGCTTTGTAATGGTTTCTTAGCTCTGAAAAATTTAAAAAAATCAGAGCACTTTTTGTATGTTTTTCTGTGCTCTCTGTACTTTATTTGGTAAATTCACAGGGTAGAATCAATAGGCAAAAAGACACTTAAAATTTATTTTCATTAATAAGTACACCAACAATAAGCATACAGCTTGTCAGAGTGAACACTCCCATGTTACCACCACCAAGTCAGTAAATGGAATGCTATCAGCCCACCTGTGGTTCTCTCATTTTCCCACACGATTACTGCACCCTCATCCTGACCTCTATTGCCGTGTTATATTGAAGTTTATATTTAAGTTTGTTTTGCTTAGTGTTTGAGCTTTATATAAATGGAATGATACAGCACAAATTCTTATGTTTGGCTTCTTTCACTGAATGTTAATTTGTAAGATTTATTCCCATTTTTATGTGCTCTTCAGTTCATTAGTTTTTATTGCTGTGTAGTATTCCATTTAATATATCACAATTTACCCATTCCTTTTTCTGATGGCATATGGATTGTTTCTAGTGTTTGGCTCTTAAAAGAGTACTGTCCTAGATATTATTACATGTACCTGTGCATCATTAATGACTATCTACAGACTAGTGAAATTGTTGGACAGAATTCAGTTTTAATAGGTTTATTTTGACTACAAGTCACTTAAACATAAATTTGCTAGTTATAATCTTGGAGAGGGTATTTCTTAAATTCGTATTTTGAAATAATTTCAGATTTACAGAAAAGCTACGAAAGTATTATGGTGAGCTTCTGTTAATCCTTTATCCAGATTTCATCAATTTTGAACATTTGCCACATTTACTTTATCATTCTCTCTGTCCATTTACATATATATACATGCATACATATATGCATATATATTTCTTTATTCTAAGCCATTTTTGAATAGGTTGCTTACATCATGTTCCTTTACACTGAATCTTTAGTGTTTATATCCTAAGAGTGAGAATTTTTAAGAGCACGGTTTTAATCCTGTGATTTCTGAACTCTGCATTTCTCATTATCACTATTTTCAGAACACCATGCACACACAATTTCCATGATGTCTGTTGTAACTACTCGGAATATTGAGTGGAGGAGGTTATTCATGCTATGAATTATGATTTTCATTTCACTTGAATCATAATTTTTTTCACTTGTGTAGAATGGATAACTAAGTAAATATGCATAGTTAAGGTATAGAGTGGCTTTGCAAATAGGCATATTAATTTATAATTCAGATTAGGCAGTCTGCTCTGGGACCACTATTGTGAAGTATTAAAAACATGTCACTTTACTGTTTTTAAGTAGGCTGAGAAAAGAGCCAAGATATTTTTAATGTCATGATTTATTGATTACTAGGCTTATTTGCACAGCATTGAAATGATAAAGGGACTAAGCATGTGTTTTGTTTTGCCTTATTTTGTACTAATTTTTAACATTTAATGTTATTTCATTGTTTAGTAGCTAAACTATAATTCTGTATACTTATATACATATTTGTATAATCAACATATATCAGATATAATATATTCTTTCTATCAACAGACATCTTTGTCATTGCTTATAGTTCTTGGCTTTTAAGCCTATAATTTAAAAGTTTATTTATATTGAAGTTCATTGGTTAAAAGTAAAATGATAGTCATTACTTATACTTACTTAAAAACTTTTCAATGAGAAAATAAGATTTTTATTGATGAAGTACTTTGCAGTACAATTTAGTTCTATGTAGTTCTCTTGTTAATTCATGGGTAAAAGTAGTATAAGTCACTCGTTATGGTTCATTATTTTAATAACCATATCCAGGCCTAATTGATGACTTATGAGATTACCTTTTTATTCTAAATCCTTGTTTGGGACATATATTTATCTCTCTTGTGCTAATGTCATTTGTTTTCCTGTTGTATTAGACAGGACACTGCTTCAGAATCAAGGTGATTAGTGGTCTAAATACTTTGACTTAAAAAAAACTCCTAAATTCTTCCAACTGAATATCACCATTAGTTTAAAAAGCAGTTTTTGTTTTTTTGTCTTTGGCTGTCTTCTGAATGCATGCCATCATTCTGGTGCTATGACTATATAGGAGGGAAAATGTAATGCCTGGTGTAATCACAGATCACAAATGATCATGCAAAATGTTGATTGCTATCAGACATCCTGTTTCTACTCAATTCCATGTTGACATTTCCATAAAAACTGGGTTGTGGCCTTCAATCAAAGCCTAATTTTAATTCTGAATTAATAGATATGAGTTTTCTCATTTGGAGGTACCTATGTACATGTAAAGAGTTTATTTCAGATCCCAAGATGATGCAGAAATGAACATCCTAAGAGAAACATACTTAAAAAATAGAATCTGGTTTTTACATGAAGAGGATTATCACTCTATTTTTGTTCATTTTAATTCCTGACACTTTGGTTACTTTGAGACATTGCTGAGGTTGGTCTGGACACGGGAAGACACTGACTCCCTTATGTAAGTCTGACCACCTCAGTGATGACATCTCTTCCCCTCGGCCCACGTGCTTTTTGTGGAAACCGTCCAGAGTCACAGTACCTTAACTGAAGATAATGATTCTTTGCTTTGTTCTAGTTTCCACTTTGCTTATATCACAAATCCAATGGAAAGCAGACATGTCCATCTTCCTATTTGGGACCACTAACATTTAGATTTCTTTCCAGCTGGGATGAAAGCACAGTATTAAAGATTGTACTAGAAAGAGATGTTAAAGGAGAAAAAAGAAAATTATTTTGGCCACATTGCTAAGACAAAAGGTGTCTTTTTTGAGACTTAGAAATGACCTATACTTTTTTATGGTTGAGTATAAGACCATTTAAATAATACTTCTTATCTACTTTTAAAAGCCTAATGGAAATGTTACTTTTACTTCATGTACTATTAGAGGCAGAGAATTATGTCCGTTTACTACCTTAAAAATCATTTGGCCTGTAATTTCCTTACTTTACATATGGTTAGATTGAATCCTAGGAATGTTCAATATCTTGCTTGTTGTCATTTTAATCTTAGGGTAGAAGGATGTGAGTAAGCAAAAGAGCTACCCAGAGATATTTTAAATTCTAATGTAAAGAATTCACCTAATTAAAAAAAAAATTTCACTCATTGTAGAGTTTAGGAAATTCTGTTCTTATTCTTTTTTTTGTTTTATACATTGTCCACTGATCTATCTCTTTTGACTCATAGCTCTGATGCAACATATTTGATTTCCACTAGAGTAGTCCAATCTCAATTTTATTTAATTAGTAAAGATTTTTCATAGGATGATAGGTGAGTACTTAGTTGAAAGCCAGGACTTAGTTAAACTATTAGTACACATGATGTGATTATGAGTTAAATTGCACTATGGATCCTATGGAAAAGAACTGAAGTTTCATCATTAAGTTGTTCCATACAGCCTTTCTTAAAGCATTTGCAAAGAGAAAGCTTTTTCAGATTTCTCTTAAGTTGCTATCACAATCAAGTTTTGTGTCTATCTTGAGTTGAATACACTGTGATTTAGATGGAGATTTAATCTGTATATAGCCATTTATTTGGACTTTATGGTGCCAGTAGTTTTAGAGGGGTGCTAGGGAGTTGGATAGATAGTGGGAGGCAGTCTGCTGCTCAGAACACCACCTTTGCAAAACTAGTTCTGACTCAAGAGTTTACCTGTGTAAACAATGTGTCTGTGTTACCCTGATGGGAAATAAAACATGACCGCATCCTTCTTATTGTTGAGTCCCTGCAAGTGGTCACTAAAACACCTTTATCTGTCCTCTATCCAGTGAATTAATTGTTATTGAAGTAGGCAAGTAGGCATGAAAAGCTGTGTTAACATGAGAGTATAATGGTAGTAGTTGAGGTGGTGAAGGTCAAGAATATATTAAAAGTTATCTTAAAGCTTTGTGAGGGAGGTTCATATCATATCCATAGCTTTTGATTGATGCTGTGTCCAGAAGTACTTGGAAATGCCTGCCAGCCTCCATAGTGATAGGCATAATATAGGCTATTCCCTCCCCTTAGAAAGCCTTCATTTGTGTTCACAGACTGGTGCTTGATTAGTTGGTGACTGGCAATCGAAAATATAGGTAGAATATACCAATATAAAAATAGGTAGGAATTATCCACATTGTATTTCTTTCCTAGTTATTCATTTTTAATTTCATGAATTCTCAACAGAAGTAATGCTGGCACAAAATTCTTCTGAATATATCTCTTGGGAAGCAGTTTTATAATGCATATGTTGATATTCCCAAATGTAAAAGGAGAAGAAAAAAGACTATATGGAAAAAACAAGGGAATGGTTCTAATTTGCTTCATCATTTAAAAATGTGAATATAATTAATATGCCAATATATGTATATTCCACCATATTAATATTTTTGATTTGACCCTTCTATTTAAAAATAAAAAGTATTTATATTTTGAAATGAGATTATTTTAAAAGCAAAGAAAAGCAAGCAAGACATTTACATAAATGTCTAGAAAAAATGTATACATAAATGTCTAGATAAAAGTGCTTAGAACAATGCCTGGCACAGAGTGTGTGCTTTTTTTTTTTTTGCACGATCCTGATTATTACCATAGGAAATATCACATGTTATTTTGGTTTTTATTTCACTCAAAAAAATTGGTGTTATGCTTGCCTTCCTGCTAAGTTTAACTCTAGGAGAAGTTAAAGTGAAAACTGTTGTAAAGAACAACCCCAGAGGTATATCAACAACAAGAAACAGAAAACACCTTCCTTCCTCATCTCAGTGTGGTTCCCAAGGTGGGATAGAAGAATCTTGATGTACAGAATTTAGTGTTTCACGTGTTTTGGGTTCTTGAACTTTATGCATCCATGTTCCCCAAAAAGCATATATTTTATGAGCAATAATGAAACTGATATAGGTAGTTCTCAGTTTTATTTTTAGTATTATCTAAGCACTTGATATGTCATTAACAGTGAATTGGAAGTTGATTTTTTTAGAAAACATTTTAATTCTGACATTAAAATATAGATGTTTCTGATCCTTTGGTTTGGTTTAGTCTAGTTTTGTTAGAGCTGCTATGAAATCAAGAGAAACTAATATTTATTGAACATATGTCCTGTGAGCCATTGAAATAGTATTTATATATTTCATTTGGCTTTTTAGGCTTAAATTATAAGTTGCAGGCCTTTACATCAGATGGGAATACTTGTGGAGAAAATATTCCTTATGTTGTGTACTAACACTATTGTCATTATCAATAGCTATCAACAGCTTAGTTTATGGAAATGGAGCTATTAGAACTTTCTGCCAAAAATACTTAAAAGTTATGACTACGAACAGGGATTTAAAGAAGTAATCTTTTGTTTATTCCTGACATCCTAGCCATTATTTTTTTTTGGGGGGGGGGTTCATTTTGACCTTGTGAGTTAATGTTTCACATGGTTTTTACACCTTAGTTTACCCAATGGATATTTGTTGAGTGCTTACTATTACTTATCAGTTACTACAGTAGGAGTTAGAAATATACCCATTAATGAGGCATTCAGCAAATAGGCCAGTGAGACAGTGTTACTAAACTGAAGATACAGGATACTGAAAGAGTGTTAACCAGGATATGACTATTCCTTTAAGAATGTTTAATCACAGCTTCCAAAAGGGAAATACTTGAATTAATGCTTTCCAAAGTGGAAGTATAAATAAATATACTTTACACAAATAAATAAAATGATTAACATACTTATTTAGTCTTGCAGGGAGTTTTTAACTGTGGACGCATATAAGGGTTTATAATTTTATCCAGGATATAAAACAAAGAGGGTTAGACTGTTTTGAATAGAGTGTATCAGGTACTTTCCAAAGTATCATAATACATCATGACACGTGCTGTCTGTGTAGGAGCTCAAAGGTATGTCTTTTTCTTAACCTTAATTTACCTAATCCAGAAGTAATATTTTCAGGAAAATAGATCAAGATTAGAAATAACTAAATTTCCTGATACCTGTGAGCATATAAAGTAAGGAAAAACATGGCAGGCAGGTACGGAAGTGCTCTCCTGACGGTTGGCTGTCTCAGCTTTACTGAGTTCCGCTGAGGACCTGTGTAGAGTGATGGCTTTTCTAGCTGAGTTTCATTTCTGACTTAAGTACTGACACTTCTTGAATCCATCAGAAGTCCTGTACCTTCACTTGTTGGTATCACCACCTATAAATACTGGCATCTTCATCATTCTTTCAGGAAAGCACAGAAACTTTGAAACTTAAAAATGGTAAAATATTCCCACCACTAACAGCAATAATTACTGCATGGTGTTCCAGCAGCTAACCTAGTTGGTCTCAAAAGTAGGTTTGAGTCTTTGTTGCAAAGAGGTCTAGCATAGCTCAGAGTTGTCTTTCCTAGAAAATGAAATTCTTAGAGCAGACCAGTATTTCCACGTGTTTGTTTCACAAAATAGATTAATGTAGAAAGAGGAGACACCCCCAGTCCTCCTCCCCTCAAGCTGGTGAAGGTGATTCTTGGAGCAAATAATTTAAATAAGTTAGGGAATTTCTGTACACTAATTCCCTCTTAGAGAATCACAGTGTGTGCCAGCATATCATAGGCTCTATGAGGTCCTGATAGAATCAAGTATGTTTAACATTTAAAATTTAACCTGTACAATCTTACTTGGCCACAGTGTTTTGTAGAATATCACCTAAAATTAATCCCAAGCTGACCATCCAACCTTTTTATTCAGGTTACTTTCTATTAGGATCTAGCTACCAGTAGCTAACAGTTCAGAGACAGATCTTAATAGTCACAGGCAATGAGAAGTGATCAGTATCAGCCTCATCTATAAGAACTACAAGAAAAACTCTTTGTGAGCCTTTTATGGAACAGTCACAAAATTGTTTAGAATATATGCTATTAATTTTAGTTTTTTCGTAACGCCTGAGTTCATTACCTAAGCAACTCTTGCTCTTCTGTGTACGTCCTTCTGTTTCTCAGATTGAGACTTGAAATGGTTGGCTACTATGGAATGAGTAGAAACAGGTGAGCCTAATGGCAGGGCGTGGCCTGGATTGCATTTTTCCCAGGATGTGGTGGCCTGGGTGGCCAGTGTGCCTACTGACACATCACTCCATGTTGCCTGGGGCTTGTGCTTCCCGTGGTGGAACTTGTGAATGGCTTGTGCTACCATGTCATTGTGAAGACCCACGCTATGCATCTCTCCTTAACACATTCTGTATGTATTTGCTCTCTGCAGCGATGGAGAGGGGAGAAAAAGGACCTCGTCTACTTGCAGCAATGAGTCCCTAAATGCCGGCGGAACCCCTGTCACTCCTCACCGAATCTCCTGGCGGCAGCGCATTTTCCTCAGAGTCGCTTCTCCCATGAACAGATCTCCTTCAGCAATGCAGCAACAGGGTCTGTGGGGCACGTGCCAGAGAAGCGCTACTTACTAGTATCATGTGCTGGGGAGTGGAATGCACTGCTTTGTGTACAAAGATATTTAAGTGATTATAGCAGAGAAATAACTGCTTTCTATATCTGATTATGAACAGTGGTTAATGCCTCAGTTATCATTAGACCATCTGAGACATTCAGTAAATGCCTATTGAATGAATTGAAGGAGTGAGTGAGCTTCGAAAACTGAAAGCTATGAGAATGCTAGGAAACAAGTCACAGATTTTTTTATTATTAGAAAAGGAACATATTTTTTGCAAGAGTCACACATAAAACAAAGTGACATAGTAATGTTGAACAATAAAGAAATGGATACAGAAACACTAGGCAAATATAAACCAAAAAAATATTAGACCCATTAGCAATTTAAAAAAAGGGGCAAAATGTAGCAATAAACAAAAATGCATAACAAAGATGAGAACATATATAATTACACAGCCTTGACATCCAAGGCTGTATGTAAAATAATACTTAGAATGTCTGGGAGAAAAAAAAAATTAGAACTCTCATTGTAGATTTTAACATATTTCTCTCAGAAAGTTAAATTTAGATAATTAAATATAGATAGAAACTTAGAAATTAAATGTAGAAAATTTTCAAGAAACTCAAACAGGTTTGATCTAATATTGACACACAATCTTGTACCCTAGAGAAAGTGCATTCATTTTTAGCACACATGGAACATACGTAAAAATTAGTTACAAACTTGGCCACGGAGACTTTTTAATAAACTACAATTATCACCATTCATACTCGGGGGTATATTCTTCAGTCACAGTGAAAAATTAAAAAAGTAGGAAAGAAAGAAAGGAATCAATAATTAAGGAACCACTAAAATATTTCATGTGTTTGGAAACTGAAAACTGTATTATAAACTAGAAGGAAAACAATGTGATATCAAAGCCCTGTATGTCAGAATCAAGTGCTGCTTAGAGGGCATTTCTGACATCAAGAGAGCCAAAATTCAAAATATACTAAGTATTCAACTGAATAAGCTAGAAATGGAGCCATAGAATTAAAAAAAATTAAAGAATTATTAAGAAAATAAATAATAAAGGTAAGGGCACAGGTCAATTAAGGGAAAAAAAAACAAGAAAGCAACTGGCATTACTAGAAATAAAATTAACTCTGCCTAAGATAGTCAGAGAAAACATCCAAAAAAGTTAGCTGTATTATTTAAACTCATTGCTGGGAGAAACATTTTCAGAAGGAGGGACTAGCAAAGTCTGGAGTCACTGCAGAGAATTGTGGGTCAGAAACTGAAGAGAGATTCAGCATGATGGGAGATGGAGACGGGAGGTAGAAAAGGTTACAAGAGGCCAGAGGCAGAAGGAATCTACATGCTATTCCCAGTAGTTTTGGACACAACCATTGAAATATTTTAAGAGACATGATCATGTTTATCGATAGTAAATTAATTGGCAACAGTGCAGAAGATGGCCTGGAGCACAGGGAGAGAATGAATTCCAAGAATCGAGTGAGAGTGTGGTGGGAGTGAGCACAGTCCCTGAGGCGAGATATGCCCAGTGTTGCTCAGCTGCTCTTTTCTTGGTGGTTTCTGATGGTAGGTTGTAGATGTTATGAGATCACTGATACCTACTCACGTAACCTTTTTGTTTTGCACGATAAGAGAAGGCACACAGATAAAATGCAGAAGTGGTGGGCTGGGGAAAGGCCAGTTCACTTTGGAGCACCCATCTTACAGGCCTTTTTGTGCTAAAAGAAGAAGTGGTGCAATTGCATATACTTTTATTTCATGAGAGGGAAATCTCGAAGGGGAATTCAGTCTAGTGGATTTACTTAAATCATTAGTTCCAGAAACTAACAGTTCTGGGAAAGTGGCTTTGTGAAAAGCTTTAAAGGTGCAATATAGGATGAGAGGACTTCGATTCTAGAGGAGACTTCTGTAGTCTGGGAGACTACTTAGGAATGCCTCTCACTGTTTTCTTCTCTGCAGATGGACTGGACAGGAGTGAGTTGCTTCCACTGTCCCCTCTCGCTCCAACCGTGGAGGAGGAACCACTGGTTATATTCATGTCCGGTGATGATGACCCAGGAAAGGCTGAAGAAAGAAAAAAGTCAGAAGAACTAAGGAGTTTGTGGAGAAAAGCTATACACCAACAAATCTTGTTACTTCGAATGGAAAAAGAAAACCAGAAACTTGAAGGTTAGCCATTCAAGCAGAGCTAAATGATATGATACTGTAATTTACCCTCTCCCCCATCACACACACATTCATTCTTGGACTGTATACACACTTTTACAAAATATCTACTGATGATAATTGCTTATTTCTATTTTGTGATGTGCTTATGACATGTGAGAGATCAGCTTAAGATAATTTGCATGTTTGTTTAATAGGTAAAGCATCAGACTATATTTTAGGTAGTTTAAATATATTTAATATAAATATAATTATATATTTCAAATATATTTAATATAAATATATAATGAAATATAAACTCAGATTATATTTTGGTAATATAAAATGTAGATAATACAGAGTTGATGTATTTGATAAGATTGGAAGTTTAATTTTGCACATTACTTAAAAAAATACTTAAACATGAAAAAAGCAAAGTTTCTTCCTTTTGAATATGATTTTCAGCTTTCAGGTTAATTGTATTCATAATAGGAGAAAAATGCCTATCTCAAATAAACTGTATCCATTTCAGCTAATTACCTGTTTTCAAATCAAAGATCCTATTTTTTGTTACTCCTTTATAAATATTCTATTTAAAATACCATATTCAAATCATTAGATTTATAATTAGATTATTTGTAACACCTGTTGTGCTTTTTGTAATGCTTTATTGCTAAGTTTATGAACACCAAGTGCTTCCCCAGACTTGGAAGGAATGATGTTATTTACCCCAGTACTGATAGACCCACACATAAGAAGATGTGCAGACAGTAGTAAAAACTGAAAAATGTGTTAATGCCATTGTAAAGGGCAAATCAACTAACCTAAAGGGCCTTGTTTTTTTACATTGGTAAGATGAAAGATTTAACTTATCTGGGCTCTTTGACTTTTAAGTAGAATGGAAAATCTATAATCTAGATATTTTTTTCTGACTTGCTTTTGTTGTTCTGTCTTCCAAAAAGCTCTTTTAGTACAGGTATTCACAGTTCTGTATTCATCATCTGTCTTAAGTTTTCTCTTGCTACACCTACTATTCAATTCTGTTTTTAAGTTGAACAATATTTATTTAGTTTGCAAGGGCACAGTTTATTTTCTTTATTGCTCGTTCTTAGCAGAATGGAAAGCACATAAGATTTTAAATATCTCTAGGGAATAAATCTTATTTTCTTTAAAATTAAAAATGCGTTAGTTCTTGTTGACATTACTTTTAAAAGTTTGGTTGTGATAAAAAGTATGTGCACTTGAACTTTCATAGATTTTGAAAGGAATTGACTTCAGATTTTTAAGCAGTTGTTTATATCTTTAACTCAGTAAAAGAGGTTGGAAAAAGGATGAATCATTCCTTTGAAACCTTTAAAGTATGAAATTATATTTCATTAACAGTTGGGAATATGTACAAGGAGAATCTTATATTAAATATCAAAGGGTAGTTTAAGAATCATAAGACTATTTGATTTGGAAATGGCCATAGAAATTACATAGCTCCATTCTTCAATCCACAGCTGAGTTAGTGACTGGCTTGGGCAGATAAAGAATTAATCTAAGACCAAACAGTGACATGTACTGGCAGAGTACTGAAATTCAGGTTTACTTATGGCTCTTGGGCTTTTCCCAAGAAAATGGGAAATGGCCATTCCCCATTATGCCACAGTGTTTCTTAACTATGTGTATTAACATAAGAAAATGTTTTAATACAGATGACTCTGTGTGCATTCTGAGGTCAGTTATACTATATAAATTGACAGGATAAGAAAGAAATGACATTTAGAATATATGATCAGAAACCTTTAACAGTTCTCTACTTCTCTACTTAAGTAATAAAGACAAAAAATAGTTTAGTGCATTACAATTCTAGCAAATAGATAAATAGACAATCATTTCTTGATTTTTAAAAATTCTCACCTAGTTATCCAGTTGAGGGCAGATATTAACTGCTTTTACTTAGCATTTTATCCTCAGGGCCTATTGCTTCACATAGCAGGTGCTTATTATTTTAAATGAACAATGATTTAGAGAAGGTTGGAGAAAACAAAATCTGAGGAAATACTGTGCTCTGTACATTGTGAAAAATCATTAGTAAAGTTACATGTGGGATTATATTTATTTTTCGCTTTAATGAGCCCACTCCTTTTTGAAAAATTATTTGATTTTCGTAGACAAATACAAAGCAAAATACCCAGAAGCGAAACTGAACTGTGTTGGAAAGCCACCTAGTGGTATGCAGGAGGAATATTTTTCTAGTGTGGTTTACCTTTTTATTTTGTCTGAACTTTTTTAAGTAGAAATTTTTACTGCCGTGCTTGAAGAGCAGTCTATTATGAGATCCTTAAATTCTTCTGAAATGGTTTCCAGCATTAAATAAAGTGTAATACTCATTCTGCTGTTGTTTTTGTGCTGTCGAGGACTTGGGATGCATGACAAAGATTTGTGTTGCAGAAGGTAAGGGGGAGAACACTGTGAGCTTGAGTGAATGTCGCTTACTCTGAGAGGCTCCTGGTCAGTGTGATCCTAATGAAAGAGAAAAAAATAAATATACTTACATGTTTTTTTGTCCTTTTCCCTCTTGGAATCACTTATTCAAAATAAAGACCAAGTGAAGATAGTCTTGGCTTTATAGGAGTTTCTTTTAATGAGTCCTGGGCTTATCTTTTACTGTCAAATGAGAGAATTCTGTACTATTTAAAAAATGGAAGTAGTGTTAGCTTCAGTAAAATGAATTGTCTGCTTTAAGATTATTAAAAATGAACACAGGGACCCATAACTTGGTGGTGTTAAGGGCAGGGTTGATAACTCTAGAAATAGTTAGGAAAATGTATCAGGTTATTGTGGTTAAACATTTCTTCAATCAAGGTTAGCATGAGACATTGTTTTCTTAAAGGTAGGTCTTACAGAAAATACTCATATTTAATCGTGTTTAAAAATGATGCAAGCTGTCACTTCTGAGGAAATCTATCACATTTGTCAAAAAATGGAAGTGTATAGCATAGCAACACATGGTTTGTTTTTTTGCTTAACAGTTATCATTTGCAAGATACAGAGCAAAACCTCCTTAGGATGTTAATCCTGATATTTTCTAACATGAAATGACTTGAAGTTTGAGACCCCTTCATGTATCCTCAATTTTTATAAAAGTTTTCTTTTTGAAAAAATGTTAGTAATTGAGTCCTAAAAGTCACTTGGTATGGTTTTACAAATGCAATACAGTGTTAAAAATACTGTGCTTTAACAAAAACTTAGTCTTACATATATATATATGTTTGTTTTTTTTTCTTAGCAAGCAGAGATGAACTCCAGTCCAGAAAAGTTAAATTGGACTATGAAGAAGTTGGTGTGTGTCAGAAGGAGGTCTTAATAACCTGGGATAAGAAGCTGTTAAACTGCAGAGCTAAAATCAGATGTGACATGGAAGATATTCATACTTCCCTTAAAGAAGGTATTCCGGAACATCTCAGTAATCTTTGGTTTTAGAAGAGCTTCAGTGATTGTTTGATTCATGCAGCTCAGGCATGTTGTCCCTGTGCATTGCCTTTTCAAAAAATGGAAAATACTTTGCTTTTACCAGTAGTCAAGTGACTTAACTGGTTAGAAAGCAGTACTAATGGAGGGACTGTCCCGAGGTGACACCTTCCCTACGGATATTTCCTGCCTCCTTCAACCTCCTGTTCTCAGCTCTTTGTTGTTTACCAAGGAAGGAGCTTACGCATTTGTACAGAGCTTTTATCACAGCCATAAAAATAATTCAGACTTAAACACTTGACTCATTTCCATCATTTGGAACACTTGGTCTGAAGTGTTTATTTACATTACATATATTTATATGTATATGTAATGTATATTCATTTATATGTATGTCACACACACACACAGATTTTTACTTTTATTAATGAATTAATAAGTCAGTTTTCCTTCCATCTATTTATTCCTTTATTTATTTTGGAAAAATTACTTTTATTTAGCCATTCGACTACATTGCTCCTGTGTCAAAAATAAAAATAAAAAGACATTTAAACATAAATTAAAGTTTAATTAAATTTAAAATTTAACATACATGAATATTTTAAGTGACCCAGATTAAATATATTAAAATGAGTATCTCCATGGCCTGCATGAATTTGGTGTAAAATAAAAATCCAAAACTACCCAAAGACATATGATAATGGATCTTGTTTTAAAAACTGTAATAATGTGTGAAACTGTTGCCTAGTTACATTTAAATAAAGATTAATTTTGTAAGGTGCTATACTTACAAGCCTGATATATTGGGTTTTTTCCCCTGGAGATGACAGAAATCCTAGAAATTTTCACTGCATTATTTGGAAGACAAATAGCATGTGTGTGAGATGTAGATCACGCCCTTCTTTGGTTTGACTTTATGAATATGTTTTAGGTATGCTCATCTTCCTATTTCTTACAGGATTCCACTTAAACTCCCGAGCACTGTGCCCAAGGCCCTGAATAATCCATACCTCCTTCATCTCTCTGATCTCACTTTCTGTTGCTCCCTACTTTGTATCGTATGTTCCAGACCCCCATATGTCGCAGGCTATTTCTTGCATAGAATGCCCCAGCCTTCCTACTCTCCTTCCTACCTCTCTACCTGCTCCCGTTTTTTCCCATCTCCCCTTCTTTGCATCTCATACTCTCCTCACTCTTCCTTTTGTCCCCCCTTTCCTTTGCCCCTCACAGGGTGTTCCCATATTCTTCTTCCTGAAGTGACTGCTGCCCACACCTTTGGCCTGGAGAATCCTGTTACCCTTCAGCTCTAAGGTCAAATACCATTTTCTCAGGAATAGGAGGCCCTTCCCTCTCCTCCACCAGCATAAACTACTTTCACTTTTATGATGCTTTCTCATGATTCTTTCCTTTTAGTTGTGCTTATGATTTGTAATTCTGCATTTCTGTGTGTATTTCTTCAGTGTTTTTCTCACCCCTTCACTGCACACCTGCACACCAGGAGCAATCACTGCCTTTTCACATGCAGTTCCTCTCATACTAACACTGCTGTACTGAGACAGCATCTTGTACAAGTTATTTTCTGAATGAATAGAGGGATGAATGAATGAAGGAAAGTAATATTCCTGAGAATGGATTTATTCATTTCTTACTCAGTAATAAGGTGTCCTCAGTGCCATGGTCTGTATATTTTGCTACATATTAGGTGCTCAAAAAATAGTAAACTGAAGTGAATTACCTTTTTGTTGAATTGTTATTAGATGGATAATAAAACAGCCTACTCATTTTATCAGTGATTCATTTAATGGCACAATAAAAGTTACCCTCTAAAAATGGTACTTTACAAGAGATTATTCATTAATTCAACAAATGTTAAATAGCTAAGTATATTCTTAGATTTCACCATGTAGGAATGAAAGTATGGCTACTATTCTCAAGGAGCTCACCATCAAGTGAGGAAAGCAGACAAACATACAGTATGGAGCTCAATAATCCAGTATGGTAATGTTCAAGTATGAGTGCAATTGTATGTGAAAAAGCAATGATTCCTCCTGGAGAAGTTAGGGAGAGCTTCAGCAGAAGCAGGGCATTCAGTTCATCCAAAAAAAGACGAATAGAAATACACTGGGTAATCAAAGTGAGGAGCTTGGTATTTCGTAAGGCAACATGAGGAATAAGGAAGTGGAGGTGTGAAAATGGCCATAAGCTTCTTGTACTTAGTATACGGTGGGTGGGGAAATGCGAGGTAATTAGGACTGAAAAAGATCATTTGGAGGTATATTGTTGAGGCCTTTTAAGTCATGTATGAGCCTCAGTTATACCCTTTGGACAACAATACCATTAGCTTATGCAACCTGTGGCATTGCCATCTGCAAAAATTAGTGCCATTAAACCTTCCTCTAACCGGTGGAGCCCAGGGACCTAGTCCAGATCCAGTCTGTCTGAACTAAAAACACACGGTGAAATAAGATTCCTTGCACTGTGCAGAATCGAAATTCTGTCCCTCCCAGTGCTTGGTTGATATCCTTTGGCATAAAAAGCGTAGCTTTAGCATACTTTCAGTTACTTGTGATCCATTTTGGTTTTCCAGCCTAATAAGTTAATGTTTTATTATATATGCTAGCTATTTTCTTCTTGAAGGCTGAAAGGTGTTCTGGAACACTCCAGTTATGCCTTCATATTGTATTTGCCATTTTTTTACTGCATTCTTTTGTGACCGTACAAAGATACTATTTAATTCTCTTTTACAAAATTACTTGTTGATGACAAATATTCATATTTAGATGACAAATATAAAGATTTACATTTGTTTCTAGCTTCAGACCAAATAAAAGTTGAAAATAGGTTGTAATACATTTCAGGTTTTCAAAATTTGGCCTCTGAAAAAAGACTTCCAGATTTGTAATTCTAAACTGCCACTTACTAACTGAATTTTAGCAAGTTATTGAGCCTTTTCCTGCCAGGTTTGCCATCTGTAAAGTGGGGATAAGTACCATTCTCACTGGGTTGTCTTCTGAGCACATGTGCAATGCTCAGTAGCAAGGCATCCTCAGTAAATGTTGTGTTAGGTGCTCAGTCTGTGTTGGCTGGTGGTGTTATTAGTATTGCTGTTATTAACATTGTTATTTGAGGGTTTTCTTTTGCAAATATCAGCAGCCGCAGGATCAAACTTGTCGAAGTAGGCATCATAGTATGTGATCCAAGGGTACCACACGGGACAGTACAGCTGCCTATTTTAAAGCATTACATAGTCCATCAGCTGTGGTTTGGCAGCTTCATTCCAAAGTTCAATACCTTGCTTCCTTGTCTTTGATTGCAGGTGTTCCCAAAAGTCGACGAGGAGAAATTTGGCAGTTCCTTGCTTTACAATATCGTCTAAGACACAGACTGCCTAATAAACAACAACCTCCTGACACATCCTATAAAGAACTTTTAAAGCAGCTCACGGCTCAGCAGCATGCAATTCTCGTGGATTTAGGTATGTTCACCATATTAATGCCTGTTTACAAAATCAAGCAATAGAGGCCTTTGTGGAGTCTTTTGGGCTTTTATTCACTTGTTTGTTTCTGTTTGGCACTGATGACAAGGATCTGCGATGCAGGGCTGCTGATTCGTCCTTTCTGAGGGCAAGTTGGCGTCATATCTGTTGAAGATACCATAAATGTTTGAGTAGAAAGTGAAGTTGTCATCCCCAGGCTTGCCTTCTGAAAAGGGAGTTACCTTAAATTTGAATGATTATAAGGTCATGTTATCAGGTACTCTCAGTTCCTGTATTTTGAATGACTGACTTTTGTTTGGGATAGATGACTATCTCAGTCAACACTGGTTTTAAACTAGGTTAGAGTAGGTTAAAAGGGGCATCAAAATTTTTTAACAAAGGTCTACGAAGAATTCCCAGACATACCATAGAAAATAAGCTTTTGGATATCATTTTACAAAGGAATACAATAAGTGGTTGTGTTGTGGCAATCATGAATACATTCCTAGAATGAAAGAAAAATTAGCTGTCCTGATGTTATTACGGGTACTTGCGTCCTGGGGGAGAATTTCCAGTAACAGCATCATAAGCTGTCTTTTTAAATACTGAATTTCAAATAAATTACGGGAAGTAAAAATGATATGATTTAGAAAATTATATTGTCTCTAGTTTTTCTCTAAATGAACATGTTGTAATATATATTTTATTTTTTAAAATATCTAATTTACTGGATTAAATATTGTACACTGACATTT